ATTATACTGCTTTGAAGCTTTATAATGCTTTTACTCGTTACTTGGAATAGTTTTATTTTGTTTGATTTTGTTATGTGTGATGGTATGAACAGCTATTTGAAGAAAACAAGGCATTATGGCAGCCATTGCTGATTTAATATCATCTTGTTTGAAGTCCTACCATGCTTTTGTTCTCCTGTTTTCATTGGTTCTATCATATTGTATCTTATTGTATTTATTATGTGTGATAGTATAAAAGCTTTTACAAGCTCCACATGTGGCATCCAGAGGTAGCGGTGAATGCCTATAATCCCAGCACTCAAGAGGCTGAGGCAAGAGGATCACTGTGAGTTTGAGGCCTGCCTGGGCTTCCTGTTCAGCTGCAGGCCAGCTTGAACTGGCTAGTGAGACCCTGTCTCACATAAAAATCAGAAAAGTAAAAAATAAAGTCTCCACACCTCCTCGCATAGCCACCACACTGGGAGCCAATACATGACATGCAAACCATACCACTGTCTTTCTCCTCCTTCACGCTATTTTCTTTGGCACCCAGCTGTTTATGCCTTCGTCTTTTGTCCTAATGATCAGCCTGCATCCTTTTAATTTCTGAAAAAGCAAGAGCTATGGATTGAAACAGGGCTGTATGAAGCCTTCCCCAAGAAGCAGCTCAGAGGGAAAGAGCTCTTGACGCAGCTTGAGAGTCTGATGTGCTCTCATCATCAAAGCATCCAAGCTGGCAGAAGCAGCTTCCTGTCCAGAGCTACCCTCACGGCCTTGCCTTGGCCTGGAGAAGTTGTTTCCTTTGTAGTTGATACATAGTAATTGTGCACTTTTATGGGGTATAGTGTGGTTTTTTGGCAGTGCTGAGATTAAACCCAGAGCCTCACAAATGCTACACAAACTCTCTACCTCCAGGTATATCCCAAGCCCTGCTCAATCTGTCTAATATATATATGTATATAAATCATAATGATTAAATTTAAGTAACTAGCATATACATCACTTCAAACATCTCTGTGTGGTGAAAACATACAAAATCCTCTCCTCTAGGTATTTTGAAACATACAGTACATCAGTAGCTTTGCCACTCTACTGAGCAATAAGACATCATTATGATTCCTCTTATCTGTGTCTTTGTACAGGATTAAGATTCTATGAATAGGCACTCCCAGTTTCAAAAGGGGAGAAATTCTAAGTCAAAATATTCTAACACATTTATTACTCAAGGTCGATTGGGATCATAAATACGGAGATTAAAGTGTCTGTCAAGTCACGAGGATCCCTCAAGGTACAGCATCTTGTAGTCCGGGCTTATCTTCTTTTATCAAAGTGTGTATAGATAGAAGGCATTTATTCTGTCACACCAACCCCCAGGATTTGAAGATGGAATATAATAAAAACGAGATGATGGTGAGAAAAACTGGCACACTCATTTTCTCTGTCATTATCTTTGATTTTGAAAAAGCCCTGAGTGAGTGTCACGTTCTCCTGCAGTTCCTGCAGGGGGATTCAGGCTCCCGGCCTTTCCCGCCTGAGGGCTTCGAATGGGAGAAGATGTTGAGATGCAGACGCTCAAGGTCGCTGACATCCTTGAGGAAAACGGCTGAGAAGAATGGCAGAGCAGCCAAGCTGCCAAGAAATGAACATCCTAACCTAGTATTTCTAGGATTTGTTCCAGCTTTTTTTCATAAAAAGAAAACCATCTCAGAAAATGTATAGATTGCTTGGCATCCAGCATGATGTTTATATTCCCCCTCTTCCTCCTGCGTTCCCCACTCGTATCTGCTCCGACCAGCTATTGCCCTGGGTTGGTTTGTTAGCATCTGCCTGTGCGTGCCCATGCTTACACGTGTCAGTGCTTATGTACGGTCTTGAACTTGAACATTGGTACTCATATGATTGTCTAAGATCATTTCATTTTAATTATGGAGCCCTGCCTCCCACCTCTTTGTCTCCTCCCCCCAAACTGCTGTTTGGTGCCTCTGTTGCAATGGGGTCATGTTTTTGACTTTACCAAGAGGAAGCCAGGGGCCTTCAAGAGGTCTGCAGTGCTCACCAAATACAGATGCTCAGGAAATGGGGGGCTCATGTGACTTCCACAGAGGGAACTTCTCAGCTACAAGGCCGTGTCCTGTGGGGTGGGGAGCACTTCACTCTTCAGTGTCTCCTGGCCTGCTTGACTCCAAATGTCCCTTGGAATAATTCAACTTCTTATCTAAGGTACAGGCCAGCTTCCTTAAAACACCAACTGCTGTATTGCACAATAGGTCGGTTATATAAGAGGATCTTAAGAAAGAAGAAAATCCCAAGCAATACATAACTGCCTTTCTCCAGGCTTCAGCCCCAGGCCTGGTAAAGGGACACAGTTGAAGGCAGTGGTCCATTTGTAAACAGAAGCTGCAGAGTAGCCACTTGGCCTTCTTGAAGGGTGTTCAAGGGCTTCCCATCATTTTTAACATTTCCTCTGACTCCCTCAACTACCACTCCACCTCAGCACCCCAAATGCAGGCCCTAATTATCCTGGATGAAAATAGAAGTCTTCTCATCATTTATTTATTTTTAGCACTTGCTCAAACTAATTGGTAGCCCTGCAACCCATACATAATACAGTGATCTGGAAGAAACTGACAGCTACCTAATGATGGATTATATTGTGCGAGCACAAAGCACATAAGGCTTATTCTTCAGCAGGGTCTTGTACAACTGCTGTCATCTGGAAGTTCATGCTTTCTTACATACCTGATCTTCCAGGGTTGGTACCAAATTACACAGCTAAAGCTTCAAGAGGCTAGAATGCACCACTCCTACCTTCTTCAATTGGCTTTCAGGGATGGGATGGCCAGACCTGAGCCTTGGGCAAAAGCTCCATGCTTTATTTAGGAGGGCAATGTCCTTGAACCCTTTGACAGTCTTCACTATTTGATGGGAAAGATCAGGAGAAGTCAGGGAAGATCATACTTCTGGAGGCAGATACATCTTGGTGGAATCTCAGCTTAAACATTCATCATTTATATGACTTCAGATGAGCTGCCTTAACTTTTAGAATCTAAGTTCTCTCTCTATAGGGAGAATAACACTTACCTTCTGTGACTGTTAATCCTGATAGATCAACTTCATTGGATTAAGAAATACCTAACAGATTAGTAAAACACGTTCCTGGGTGTGTGTGGGTGGATCATGGGGTTTGGTCTTGGACACTCTATATGGTCCCTCAGCCATTACTTTTGGGTACAGCTCCACTGCTGTGCTTTTCTCAGCCACCATGGACTAAGCGGTCTTGGCCCACCATGAAGTTTCTGGGGTGGATCCATTCCCACCACACACCATGCGCTGATCTACTGAAACCATGAACTAAATTAAACCTCTCTTCCTTTAAATTGTGAGTGTCCAGTACTACATCCACCAAGTAGTAAGCAGACCAATGTATCATCCAATGTATTTTGGAGAAGTACTGTGGAAACACAAATTAAACTGCTAAATAAAAGATTAGATATCCAATAACAGTTTCTTTTCTTCTTTGAATTTATAGCTCTTTCAGATTTTTTTAAATTTAAATATTTTGTTCCTTCTTTGACTTTACAGAATCTTTGATCTGCAAGCAATCATACATACACAGATCTATTTCCTAGACCTGTTTGCTGGAGGGAAATATGAAGAAAATATGCTAAGATCTGCACTTCCATTTTGCTCTTTTATTAATAGGTTAATAGCATAGCGTAGACAAGATATCAACATACCATGCAAGATATCATTGTGAAGACTCTGGAATTCTAGTTTTGATGCCACCAGAAAACGTGCTCAAGAGCCGTGGGATTAAGAAGGCCTACTTTGGAATCCTATGCTAAATGTGTGAGCTTAGATAAATTATTCAACCTCATTGAGCCTTAACTTTCTCATTTTACCTCACAGAGATTTTTGTATTAAATACAATAATCAATAAAGTATTCATTATAGCTTGGCTCTCACATGCCTCAAAGACCCATCTGCTAATGCTCTGATCACCAGGCTGTGACACTCCTGGGAGATAATGAAACTTTTTGGAGGTGGAGCCTCATCAGATGCTGTTACCTCATTGACGAGTGACCTTGAAGCAGGTATTGGGATCCTAATCCACCCTTCCCTGTCTCTGTCGTTTGCTTCTTCCCTGCCATTAGATGACTAAAGAGGCCACACGCTTCCACCATCACGCAGCACCAATGACACAGGGACAACCACCTATGGATTGCAAACTCTGAAACTGCACTGTTGCACATTTTGTGGGTGACATGCATTGACTATTACAGTGTCACACAAGGGTGTAGGTTCATTGCCTTAAAAATCCTCTGTGCTCCACCTATCCATCCCTTCTTCCCTAACACCAGACAACCATTTGTTTATTTATTTATTTATTTATTTATTTATTTATTTAGATCTTTTTGAGACAGGGTTTCACAGTGTGGTTTAGGCTGGCTTTGAACTCACTTTGTAGCTCGGACTGTAGCTCGGACTGGCCTCGAACTCACAGCAGTCCTCCTGCCTCAGCCTCCAAAGTGCTGCGATTACATGTATGTGCTACTGTGCCTGGCTAATCATTGATTTTTAAAACACCTCCCTAGATTTTGTTCTCATGCAAATCAAACAGTTCGTTGAATTACATCCAGGAAGAATTGTAAATACAAATTCAAAAACAGACATTGAAAATAATCCCTTGACAGTTTCCAGAACAGTCATCAAACTATCCATCCCATAGTCAAGAGTATAAAGTTTGGTGAGCCACTTCAAGATGCTATATACAATGTCATTTGTTATCACTTTGGAATTCTTGATATCTCATCATGTTTTCTTTTATCCATCAGCAATGAACTCAGCTTCTTAGAAATACTTTCTTTTCTTTCTTCCTTTTTTAATTTTGGTATCTGGAATCAAATGTAGGACCTTGTGCTTGCCAGGCAGGTGTTTGTTCTGCTGAACTATATCCCCAGTCCTTAAAACATTTAAACAATAGTTTAGAAAAGGTTTCCCAGTCACATGCCATCTTCTAGGATTTTTAACAGTAAAATCAGAATCTGACACCAATTAATTGTTGACAGTTTTGCCAATAAACAAGAATGTGCCCCAGTTGACAGACAAGCCCCAAAGATACAAGGAAGTCCCTGGGAACTTTGCCTTCTGTAGAACGCCATATAGTTGAAAACGTTCTATTTTGTCTTTTAAGATTTGCATATTTCATTAATAATATGCACTTAAGATACTTAAATTTTTTTCATGGCTTAAAAGCTTATTTCTTATTAGTGCTGGATAACTGCACTCATGGTATGAAAGTACCACAATTTATAAATCTACTCACAGGTGACAGGGGACTTGGTTGCTTCCAAATTTTGACAAACATAAATAAAGCTGCGATAATTATTTGTCTACAGGTTTCTTTGCATATGGGTAAAATACCAATGTGTTCAATTACTGGAGTGCATGGTAAAATTATGTTTAGTCTGAAACTCAAATTGCCTTCGAAAGACTGGCTGTACCCATTTTGCATTCTTGTAGCATGTAGGGATGTGACACACCCTCACCAGCATTTGATGTTATGGATGACTTGGATTTTGGCCATGCTGTTAGATGTGTGGTGGTATCTCATTGTTGTAATTTAAAACTTTCTGATGGCACATGATGATTACTATTGCTCTTTTAATTTTTGATCACATTTTGCTGGCATTTGGTTTGGTTTACTTACTAGTGGTGCCTCACCGCTGTAAAAGTAGCATTTGTTTGAGAGTGGTCAGGAATAAAACTAAGAATGGGATAACTGTAAACACAGAATCTAAATTTAGAGTTTTCGTTTATGTGTGTTGCCCAAGTTTGCAATACTGGATCTAGAAGTTTTGTTGGTGGAAACTTAGTGCTTAGGAATGGTGTCTATGTTATATACCAGAATAGTCCTCAACATTTTGGTATCAGGTATTGTTCTGTCTTTTTGAGACAGGGCTTTACTATCCAGTTCAGGCTGGCCTTGAATTCATTTTGTAGCACAGACTGGCTTTGAACTCATAGCAATCCTCCTGCCTAAGCCTCCAGAGTGCTAGGATTACAGGCAGAAGCAACTGCACCTCTCAGGATCCCATAACTCTTAAAAATTATTTAGAAGCCCTAAGAATTTATATTTATGAAGAATAAATTTATTTTTACTATTTGAGAAATTAAGAATGCACATTTTAAGCATTTATTAATATATTAAATAATATTAATAAAATCATATGTTAATACAAATATAATTTGTGAAAAAAGTGCATATTTTGAAGAATTGACCTTGAAGAATGACACTGTTTTACATTTAAGGAAATCCATAATTCGGCTCATTAGAAGATGCTAGATTCTCGTATCTGCTTCTGTTGTGATTTTTTTTTTTTTTTAGTTTAAGTGCATTAAGAAAATTTAGCTTCATATGGATGTGTTTATTGAGGAAAAGATATGTATTTCTAAGAACACCTGGAAAGCATGTTGGAGAGTCCCAGGAATTTTGGGGCCATACTTTGAGAACCATTGGCAGGGCGGCATATTCTCTAGTCTGCACATTTTCATATTCTTGGTTTGACCATGAAGTTCCCACATACATGACTTTTAGTCAATGGCAAAGACTTTGGTGAAATGAAGGGGAGGACTTTAAGGGGGGAAATGACATACTGAAATGCTGTGAAGCCCACAGAGCACTGTCTATGCTTACCACATTGTATCTTACCTATAAAGCACCATGTTTTCCTGAAAATAAGACCTACCTGAAAAATGAGTTCTGGAGGATGTCTCTTCTAAAATCACCCTACAACTTGTTTTCTGAGTGGCACTTATTTTCAGTGAAATACAGAAGCAGTGGTGGATAAGTGCAGAAACTAGAAATGGAGAAGTTGGGCTCTGTGGTGGTTAAACTTAATTATGCCAGCTTGGGAGTCAAGAAAGGGATTATTAAAGCACAATCCTGGGTGTTCCTGGGTTGTCCGTAGAGGCATGACCTTGAGTATTGTATCTGATTCTTGGTCTGTTTGTCTTTAGCTCTGTTTCCCAGTCACCATGAACTAATTAACTTTGCTCTGCCATGCTCTTTCTTAGAACTAGGTGACCATGGACTGACTCCTTTGAGATTGTAAGCCAAATTAAACTTTTACTTGCTTAAGTTTTAGGTGTTAGGTATTACATCCCAGTGATGGAAAACCTGCCTAGTACAGGTTCCATTTCCATATACACATTTGGGCATATTAGAAAATGGCTTAAGCTGTCTACCACTCTGTTTCTTCATCTGTAAAATATCTTACTTCAGAGTGTTCTCATGAAGATTAATAAGGTAAAGCACTTCAAGTTTTAGCATCATGCTTAGATGAAATGCTTCATAAATGTTAGTTCATAAATCAGCAGCACCTGATTTCTCACTCTGATTAATATTGGATGAGCATGATACAAGGAAGCATCAAGACTTCTTTAAAAAGAAACTAAGAACACAAACACATATAACTACTGGGAACAAGTGATTGTTTACAGTGGATTTTGAAAAAGAACCCTAGATAACAAACTTATTATATCATCAGATATAAAGGACACTGTCAATAACTATAAATATAGAAACGAAACGAGAATTCAGCAAGTGATTTTCTAAGTATTGTAGCCAATGTCTACAATTCTTTTCTTAAAAATGCTTACATAGCTAAAAAACTTGAGGCCTAACATGGACCATTTCCCTCATTCCCTGAATTCTTCATATCACGTCATGAGTGAATGGGGTGGACTTTGACTAGAGAAACACAGCACCAGGACATGCAGATTCATTACCGAGACTTGAGCTCTCACAGTCAATGAAGTATCCAGTTAAGCTGTAACCTCTTAAAGCTATTTGAATAATTCTTGATGCTGAAATAGTCCCAGCATAGAAGGTGGGAAAGGAAATCACTTTCAGGCTGGAACTCATGGACACGAGCTGCACTTTCATGATAGTAGACTGAAATTGTGTCCATTCTGATGACCTCTGATCTGGGTGATGAGATATCCTGTTGAAGCCAGGTCATCTCCTCATCAAAGCAGATGTGCTCAGCTGGCCTAGGGGTCAGTGACACTGAAGAAGGGCCTAGGGAAGGGACAATGGCAGGCTCAACTTTTGCTTGACTCCAAGGTGAGTTTTCAGGTCAGCAGCAATGCGTGTGAGCAACAACATAGCTTTGTTCCCCACCAGTGCTCTCCAGAATTACCATCAGTCTCCATGTGGCCCATACTAACTATAAACCTATAAGAGAGAGAAATCTGAGGCAGGTAGTTAACGTAAGACAGTCTAAAATATAGCAACACCATCCCAGTAAGACCTTACGCACAGTCAGTTTTTTATCAACGTTCCATTTTGGCTTGAAATGTAGGTTCTGTTAGTGGGTGTGTAGTCTATCAAGCTCACTGATTGTGCTCTTCAACTTTTCTATGTCCTTACTGACATTTTTCTTAGCTTGATCTGTTAGTTACCAAGAGAAGGAAATTTAAATTTCAAATTGTTACGAGGGATTTGACTTGTTTATTTCCTTAAAGTGCTGTCAAATCGTTGGTTTATATTTTCAGAGGCTATGACAGTAAAGGAACTAAAGTACTTTTATTATGCTGCTTCACTGTGTCTCTGATAATTTTTTTTTTTTTTTTTGCTTTGGAGCCTATTTACTTAGCAGAGATAAACTCAGAGAACAAAAGGAAAGAGTCATGAAGTTTATTTATTGTGCATATTTTCTGTTTGACCTTAATGATGATGACAAGAGGAAAACAAAACAAAGCAAAGCTCTTCTCTGTGAATTATTATAAACCTCTCATCGCATGTTATGCATCCCAAGTTCACTCTGCTGGTGTGGTACAGATACGTCAAGGGGAATCCATTTACATATGACCTACAGTGGACTACTCTGATGACAACAAAAGTAAAGACCATTCCCAACCTATGAGCATTCCAATAGAGTTCCACAGAATAGGGTCACTGAATAAAAGGCAGAAAACATGCACAAATTAAACAAAAGAAACGCTAGCAGAAACTGTAGTCAGTAAACTCATATACAAAAGACTTTTGATAAGAGCATGATGAGACAGAATTGACTTATAAAGACCGATTAGTAATAAGTTGTAAGAAATTAAGGATAGGCTTGCAAATATGGGCAGTTACAAGAGACCATAAGAATGCAAGAAGCTCTGAAACAAAATTAAAGAATGTCTCTAGAAATTACATTTACAACTGAACCTTAAAAATTCATGCTGCTTGGCAGTTATTCAAAAGTTAATGGCATAAAACCCCACAACTGAACTCCTAGATACATATCCCAAAGCACTGGACACCAGTCTTTCAAATACTATTACAGTGTTCATGGAAACGCTATTCACAATAGGAAAAAAAAAAAAGCTAGAAGCAGCCCCAGTGTCAATCAGCAGATACATGGATAAACAAAATAAGATCTTTACCTTCAAAACTCATATGCTCAGAGCCAGAGTGGCTCTTGGAAGTAAATGGATAATGACAACACAACTTTATTACTGGTTTAATTCATTCATGAATTTAAAATTTGATGAGATTATTGGGAGGTGATGAAGACTTACAAAATTGGGTTTAGTTGACGGGAGTGCATTATGGGGACATGATCTTGGGAACTATATTTTAACCCAGCCCTTTCTGTGACCTTTCACTCTCTGTTTCCCAGCTGCCATGAGATGAGGAGCTTTGCTCTAGAACATCTTTCTGCCATGATGGACTAAAACTGTGAGCCAAAGTTAATTTTTTTTTCTCCTTTAACAGGTTTATGCCACATATTTTGTCCCAGTCATGCAAAATTGATTAACACAGAAAATTGGATCCTTGCTGTGACTATACTTGTGTTGTTCAGAAGACATTAGGACTGGTTTGCGAGAGGAAATTGGAAATGTGTGGAGGTGTGACCTAGAGAAGTTTTAGGATGATTTAAGTAGAGCTTAGTGGGTGATTCCATCAGGTACTCAGGAGACCAGAATGCTGATAGGAATGTGGACAATACACACTACACTCATGAGGTATTAGGTAAAAATGAGGACTCAGGATTTGGACTAGAGGCCATGCATGTTAAATTCTGGTAAAGAATTTGTCTACATTTTGTTCATGTCCTGAGACTGTGATTT